AGAAAACTCAGCTTGTGCTTTGCTGTTGGTACCAGAAACCACAAACTAGAGCACCAGAATGATCTTGGATCCAGGGTCTCTTTACTCAAGGATAAATAACATTATGGTGTTACTCATATTGCTGTGATACATGCTTTTATTTTAACAATGATACATGTACTTTACTTTGACTTTTGACTTTGACCTTGTTGGATCATACCTGAGATGTTCATATAACATACTGAATTTCATAACTTAAAACCTATGCTAAACCTAAAAATAAATACAAAAAAAACCCACATTTATTATATAATTTAAAATGTAATTTTAACCAAATACTTTAGGAAGCATGCTTATAGATTTATGTTCGTTTTCAAAAGGGTAAAACCTGAATCTTAAACATTGAAATATAGATGTTTGTCTTACACACAAATATCTAATACTGACATTTGTTCTGTTGACTCTAGTGTAGTCAGGGAATCAATGATAATTCTGATCATTCATGACTCATGATAAGCGTCAAGCCAATCTGTTTTCAATGTAAGTTTTTGGGACAACTATATATAGCCCCTTTTTTACAGACACTGACGCAGATTTCTACGCATTCCTTCCTGCATTCAGGGTTATTTGTTTTATTTTGGAGAAACTCACACGCACAAGTGGAAGTGAATAACCACAGGATATTTTCATCTCAAATGTCCTAGCCCCCATCGTCCAAGTGTGAGCATACCTGAGGCAGTTGCTAATCTGTGGACTCAGAACCTCACGAGAGCACTTTCCCACTGCATTTAAACAGCCTAAAGGATTTCAGGTTCATATATGGAAATGTACCTGCTCCCCCCCGTCAGCTCAAACCTTGGCTGTGTTTGGAAGAGTGTTGCAGATTAGGAAGTCTGCCATTTCTCAAACCTAATTACCGGATGATGGAACACAACAGCCGTGCTGCCAAGTGACACCCCAATGCAACTTTCCTTTATTTTCTTTAATAATAAATAATACTTGTGGCAACTTGGATTTGATTTTCTAGGGTCTTTAACTACATTCTGTGGATGATTAGATGAGTGTTGTGATGTAGGATGCAGCAAAAAGGCAAAACATTGTATTTAGTCTGGGTGTAAGTACATGTTACTGTTACTGCCATGTAATAACCTCCTTTTTCTTTATTGTTAAGACGGCATTCAACATAGTTAGCAAAAGAGAGCTTTTGCACAAAACCAAGCATCATTTCTAAGCAGCTTGTACCTTTGATGACAAAAGCCTCAGCCAGCAGGCGCAGATGGTAAAGGGGCTGCTCATCCCGGGTGAATTCCTCAATGCCAGCTCGGGCACACATGCCCTGGGCATCTCGATAGTGACCCTGTGCATAGTGCACCTTGGCCAGTAGGAGTAAAGCTTCATTCAGGTAGCGTGGCTGGGGAGAAAGAGACAAACGTGATTCTCAAACTTTAAAGAGTGCCTTCAAATGACTTGAACTAAAGCCAGTTGTGATGGAGATGGTGGAAAATAAACAGCTTAAACAAATCTTCAGTCTGATATATTTGTGTTTGATGCAGCCATGCTGTATCATAAATTTTCTTTTCCTTTATAATATATTCTAAGGAGTTGTGTCAACTGCTAAAGAGAGTTTATATGGCTATTAAAGATAAAATCCTGTCCACTACCATCAGTAATTTACAATCATTTACAGATAGTTATAGATAAAAGAAGATGTTTTATGGATAATGACTCTTCTAGAACACTACTGTTCGTTTCACATTGATTACATTTACATGACAGACTATGACTATAAACTCTCACACTCCTTCACACACATGTTTTGTATGTACAGTATGTAACAATGATGAGATGCTGTGACACACCTCTAGGCGTCCTCTGCTCAGTAGGCTGTTCAAATGGCCTTTGGCTTGGGCTAATTTGGGTTGAGTGTGTTCGGACAGAGGGGTGGAGTTCCGAAGAAGAGCCACATTCTCTAGCAGGCAGTCCTCCAACAGAGCCTCAGCTTGGAGCAGCAACCCGTAGTCATCTTCACACGCAATGGGGGGAGAGAGAGAGAGACAGAGAGAGAGAAAGAGAGGGAGAGAGAAAGAGAGGGAGAGAGAGTCCATTTTTGAATGTTCTTTACTACAACCTTTCCTGGAGCTTGAGTCCAAATCTGAAAACATGTTTTTATTTATTGTAATTGTAAGTTGTACGTTTTGTGACTTATGCATAAGTCTAATATACAAAAAGTAACCCTTTTTATTGAAAGACGAAAAAGTACAATTAAAAAAAGACAAAAAAAAAAAGAATTAACAGATTCAAACAAGGCAGACTACAACCATATATTGATTATTTGTGGATTGATTATTTTTATTTTCACTGAAATTATTTTTATTGGTTTTTTTTTTTCATTTTTTGCAAAAAAAGGAAGAAAAATATTCTGATTAGTATTTGATTTACTAAACATGAGTGAGGACTGGATAGGTAGTGGCACAAAGTGGTCTTACAACAAAATAAACCAAAATACACTATTATTGGCTATCAGGAAACAAAACAAACAAAACAAACAAACAAAAAAACAGACTGCACTTATTAGGTCTTTGGGTTAAAAAATGGATTAATGAATGATTTAAACAGTCCAGTAACAATATACATATTGTATACTCGTGTATGATACATAAAAATGTTATCCAATTCATGGTACAAGTACAATATTAATCATCAGGTTATCCTAATTTTGAAGGTAAAAAAAAAAAAAATTTTTATCAAATCCAATCATCTTTTTAAACACACTTTAATATATATCATAAATCAATCATGATTCAATCATAAAAATATCTAATAAAGGAAGATAAAGAAGGCTAAAATATTTTAATGCTGGATTCTGTATAATTTTTTTATGAAATATTTTTCATTCTGCATTCTGACAGTTAGTAGCAGAAATGCTGTATGTTCTTGTTCCAATACAGTACCAACATGCAAGCGATTTCTTACTGTGGCTATCTTCACATATTTTTTAAAAGCTAAATATATCAGACTTAAAATCAGCACCCAGGCACCACTTTGATCTTACAGAGGCATGTAGTTACAGGTCTCCAGTGTATGGTTGCGCTCCACCTAAACAACTCCAACAGAAAATGCATTAAGCCGCTTTGCTTTTTTTTCCAAGATATCTTGGAGCTGGGAGTCTGCTAACGTTCTAATGACATTTAATGACTTGTGTTTGTTGTTCAGTTGTGTTTGTTTTGGCACAATTACAAAGTTAAACCAGAAGATACTTTGAAATGTTCTTTTTCCTTTTGTAGAGCTCTTGTATACATATTGGGTTTCCTGTTTGGTCAGAGTTCTTATTATCTCTCTACTGAAGACTAGTATGTCCAACAATACAGACAGTGCAGGAGGTTATATATCAAGTTAATATCACCTCAAACAATAGTCCAATAGTTTCATAGACATTAACACTTGAGAGGCACAACAAATCAAAAAAAACATTTACACATAAAAAAGCCAGACAGTAGTAAGTCTAGGTGACTTGTAGTGTTTGAAGTTGAGTGGTGAAAGATCTTCAAGGTTATAACACATTTATATTACATTTACAGCATTTGGCAGACGTCCTTATCCAGAGCGACTTACAGAAGATGACTTAACTGCATACAATGAACTTGCAAGCGATCCAAGTGAAGCAGGATGGAACTCCTTAGATCACTTCATAAACCATCAGCTTACTTACCCTCTAAGTGTGTCTGTGAAACTCCTGAAGATTTTATTAATTACCTGAAGATTTAATTAACACATGTCCAACTGCCTAGACTTACTACTAATTGACCCTCTCAAGTATAGCAATCAGCTTCCGAGATTATGTATCAGAACACTGGTCACCAACCCACCTCATGGACATGTACTTCTCCCACAAAGTGTGCAGTTTAAAGGTGTAGTTTGTCATTTTAAGTGTATCTTATATCATTTCAATGACATTTTATAAGCGGTGTGGAGTCGATTTCTCCGGTCTCTTCCTTTAAGGCTTCTATGTACATTTTTCTGAATTTGAAATTAGACCAGCCCCCAGTTGGAAGAGAGTGGAGTCGACTGGGGATAAAGGGGAGGGCTTGAGAGAGTTCTCAATGCCATTGCAATTCTCCTTGCAGGCTGCAGAATGCTCTAAAAAAATTACATACTTCACCTTTAACAGCAGAATGAAGTGTTTTGGTATTTCAGAGTTTTGTGCTGGACTGAAGTTGGCAGGACTTGACATCTTCAGCTGAAGTGTTTTTGACCATGCTGAAAGTCAGCTATATTATACACCACAGCAGGAGTGCGGTGGAGCATATCACACAGCACTTTGTGTACGTTGTGGGTTTTGCTCTACACTTCATTGTTTGGAATAATAACAGGCATCACACTGCTCAGGCTAATCATGTTAGCTTTGTTTACTTTAGAAAGGTGAATGGTCATGTGCATACTTGTGCATTGTG